GTCGCTCGGCAAGGGTGAACTGTCAGCTATTTATCAATGGAAAATCAATGAAGCCCAAACCTTTTTTTTTGCACCATCTCGCTCTCCCCACCTCGCTCTGGGCTTACCCGGCATAAGTACTTTATGGTTTAGTGTGTCGTTAAAGGAAGCTACCCGAGAGAGAGGGAGAGAGAGAGAGAGAAAAAATAGTAAAATCATTTTCAGCAGAACTGCGTGTCATGCGATAAAGCTGTGCAGGTGGGTCACAGACACACACACGCACACACACGCACAGACACACGCACACACTTGATAGCACGAGATTGTATGTGTGTTTAGGTTCAATTGCCTGCTCGCATGCCACAACGTTTTGTTGCTCTGCCCCAAACACTTTGACTAAACATCCGCTGCAATGTTTTGACATTGTGGATTACAATAAAAGCGGTTTTATTTGTTTGCCCCGCTGTCTGTCGGACTGGCAGGCATGCCAGTCACCTAGGTGATGGCAGAAGAAATGACAGAGCGCCAACTATGAATGTGTTTGGCCATGGCATTCATTAGTTGGCCACACACCACATGAGCCGTTTATCACATGTCAACTTGCAATTTAACTTACTCAGAGAAATAAAGAACTTTGTTTATTCATTTTTTACTAAAAATAAAAATTATGAGCTGTGGAAGCCATGGGATTAAAATTTGATAGCTTAACAACGAAGAAATTATGATGGAATCTAAGTATCAGGTGTATTTTAAGCCGCAACAAAATAAAAAATATTTGATTTAATATAATTGAAGAAGGCCTAATAATAATATTTCAATATTACGATTTTGTCTAAGTGGCTGAATGTTTTGGGGTTCCAGTGCATTCCTTACGATTGTCTTCTTGAAGGCATATAGAACAGAAACTTTGGCACACTAAAAAGTCCCCACCATAAGATTACTTTTCAAACAAAAAGTAAAGCTATGACTAACTAAAAAAAAAAAAAAAAAAAAAAAAAAGACAAATAGCTGCAGCCATTAGCTATTGAATGCATTTTTAATAAAACAGGCTTTGCCAGGTCAAAGATCTTAGAGTATGTAGAGTACC